AAAACCCATTTGCAGACTTCAGAAGAACTCTAAAGCACAGACTGAGAGGACACACAGTGGAACAAGAGGTGTGTTAGCACACACCCCACCAGGCACCCACTCTCCAGGCCCTTGGCTCCAAGCAAAACCCTGGGCCCTCCCCCACCTGCATCACCTTCTCTAGTCAGCCAGCTGGTAAGATTCCTATAGGTAGCGTGCTCCAAATCCACCACCCTCTCTATTGCACCCTGTAAGCTACAAGTCCCACTCCACCCCCAAACCTTCAAATCTCCTGTGACCTAAGAGGAACTTGCAAGCACAGGCTGCTACTGCATACAGCAGACAAAGAGGTAAGTGAACACCCACCCAGCTTGATACCCCACTCTCTAAGCCCTCAGAACAGTAAGGTTCTGGTCCTCCAGCCGGTCAGCAGACAAGCTTCCAGCAGTTTGGCTGCTCCAAAACTCTCAGAGTAGGAGGCTTCAAGCTAGAAGTCCTCCTCTGGCCCCCAAACCTCTATCCTGCATGGCCTCAGAGGAACTCTGAAACAGAGACTGTTACTGCACAGAGAATATCAAGAGAGCAGACCAAGACAGGAATTATCAATCACTGGTTATTAATATCTCCAAATATTATTGGACTCAATTCACCTATAAAAAGACACACACAGGCTAAGAGAATGGATATGAAAGCAGAATATATCCTTCTGCTATATATAAGAAACACCTCAATCTCAAGGACAGACATTGCCTCAGAGTAAAAGGTCGGGAAAAGATTTTAATCCTGGCAGTGGTGGCACACTCCTTTAATCCCAGCACTTGGGAGGCAGAGGCAGGCAGATCTCAGTGAGTTCGAGACCAACCTGGTCTACAAGAGCTAGTTCCAGGACAGGCTCCAAAACCACAAAAAAGCCCTGTCTAGAAAAACCAAAAAAAGCCGGGTGGTGGTGACACACACCTTTAATCCCAGCACTGGGGAGGCAGAGGCAGATCTCTGTGATTTCGAGACCAGCCTGGTCTATAAGAGCTAGTTCCAGGACAGGCTCCAAAATCACAGAGAAACCCTGTCTCAAAAAAAAGTACAAACATATCCATTTTATGATGTTACAGTTACCCTGATACTAATCCCACACAAAGTATCAAAAAGGAGAGTTATATATCAGTATCCATAATGATCATTAATGCAAAAATATCCAGTGAAATACTGACAACTGAATCTAGGAAAACACCAAAAATTTAGTCACCATGATGAAATTGGCTTCATCCTAGAGATGCAGAATGCTTTAATATATGAAAGTCTGGCAATGTAACCACCATATAAATAAATTGAAAGAAAAAATATAATCATCTCATTAGATGCTGAGAAGCATTTGACAAAATCTAACACCCCTTCATGATAAAGTTCTTGGAGAGATAAGGAATACAAGGAAGGTATCTTTTTTTTTTTGAATTTTCTTTTTTTTAAAATATTTATTTATTTATTATGTATACAATATTCTTTCTGCGTGTATGTCTTGCAGGCCAGAAGAGGGCACCAGACCTCATTACAGATGGTTGTGAGCCACCATGTGGTTGCTGGGAATTGGACTCAGGACCTTTGGAAGAGCAGGCAATGCTCTTAACCACTGAGCCATCTCTCCAGCCCCTTTATTTTGAATTTTCAAGACAGGGTTTCTCCGTAGCATTTTGGTTCCTGTCCTGGAACTAGCTCTTGTAGATCAGGCAGGCCTCAAACTCCCAGAGATCCACCTGCCTCTGCCTCCCGAGTGCTGAGATTAAAGGCGTGCACCACCACTGCCCGGCCAAGGAAGGTATCTTAACATAATGAAAGGAATGGACAGAAAGCCTACAGCAAACATCAAAAAAATGGGGAGAAACTCAAAATGATCCCACTAAGCTCAGGAACAATACAAGACTGTCCTCTCTCACCATACCTAGTAAACTTAGTCCTTGAAGCTCTAGCTAGAGCAAAGAGAAAACAGAAGAAGATCATGGGAATCCAAACTGGAAAGAAAGAAGTCAAGCTTTTGCTATTCACAGATGATATGATAATATAAATAAGTGACGCCAAGAACTCTATCAAGAAACTCCTACAACCCATAAACACCTTCAGTAAGGTATCAGGATACAAGATCAGCTCAATAAATCAGTGGCCCTCCTATATACAAATAATAATAAAGCTGAGAAAGAAATCAGAGGAGAATCGCCATTTACAATAGCCACAAATAATTTAAAACATCCCAACATGATTCTTCACAGACCTTGAAAGCACACTACACAAATTAATATCAGAAAAAAAAACAGTAGAGGGGCTGGAGAGATGGCTCAGAGGTTAAGAGCATTGCCTGCTCTTCCAAAGGTCCTGAGTTCAATTCCCAGCAACCACATGGTGGCTCACAACCATCTGTAATGAGGTCCAGTGTCCTCTTCTGGCCTGCAAGCATACACACAGAAAGAATATTGTATACATAATAAATAATAAATAAATATTTAAAAAAAAGAAAAAAACAGTGGAAAACAAAACACCCAGGATATCCAAAGTATCCTGTACAGTAATGGAACTTCTGGAGGTATCCCCATGCCTAACATAAACCTGGATTATAGGGCTACAGTAATGAAAACAGATTGGTATTGGCATAAATGTAGACAGGTTGACCAAGGAATCAAACAAAAACTCAGATATGAATCCATAGACCTCTCAACACCTAATTTTTGACAAAGAAGCTAAAATTATACAATGGAAAAATGAAAGCATCTTGAGCAAATGGTGCTGGCATAACTGGAAATCAAAATGAAGAGAAATGCAAGTAGATCCATATCTATCACCATGCACAAATTCAAGTCCAAATGGATTAAATACCTCAATACAAATCTGGCCACATTGAACATAGTAGAGGCAAAGTGGAATGTAGCCTTCAGTGCATGGGCATATATAACTTCAGTAGCACAGATACTGAGAGCACTGATAAATAAATGAGACCTTCTGAAACTGAGAATATTCTGTAAAGCAAAGGACTCAGTCAACGAGATAAAAAGGCATCCCACTGAATGGATAAAAATCTTCACAACCCCAGATCAGACAAAGGACTGATCTCCAAAATACATAAACTACTCAAGATATTAGACATCAAATTCCAAATATTCCAAATAAAAATGGGATACAGATCTCAATAGAGAAATTTCAACAGAATCTCAAATGTCTAAAGGTCACTTAAGGAAATGTTCAACATTCTTAGTAATCATGACAATGTAAATCAAAGTGACTCTGAGATAGCATCTTACAATAGTCAGAATGGCTAAGATTAAAAGCACCAATGATAACTTATGTTCCTACATGACTTTGAGGTAAGAATGCCCCTAAATATCTCTGTTTTTACCTTGTGATACTGTTTCAGAAGTGGATTTGTTAACTGAGCATGCTTAAAAAAGTAGAAGATACATGAGCATGTTCAGACTCCCTAATAAAATCCCCATGCTTCCTTTGTTGAGGAGAAACACTGTTTTGAAAATAACTCCCATGCACTTTGTGCCTCCTGCAGGCAAGTATTTCTTATTTCTTCTCTCTTGACTGTTGAGATGTTGATTTTGGGTAGTCATACTACCTCTGGGATTACCTAAAAATTGATTATACCTGAGAGAGATTTTACTTAAAGGGTTTTATTTTTTTTAAATATATAATTTGAACTATATCTGCTTTAATAATTAAAAAATACACAATGATTGTTTATAGGATACAGTATGACATTCCAGTACATGTATATAATATGTAATGATCAGATCATGGTGACTGTCATATACATCACCTCCAACGTTTATCACTTGGCTATGTTGGGAACACTGAGTTTATTTCATTTTTAAACACTACGTGTGTGTGTGTGTGTGTGCGAGTGCTTGTGCCTACAGAGGTCAGAAAAGAGCGCTGTATCTCCCAGATCAGAGTTCTAGGTAAGCCGCCTGATGTGGCACTAAGATCCGAACTCAGGTCCTCTGGAAGAGCAGCCTTCTCCCTGCTGAGCCATCGCTCCAGCCTCCTGTGCTGAGAACAGTTGGAAATCCCCTCTACAGCTCTTAGATTTCTACTTCGTGATTCGCTGTTTTTAAACTTCCATGTATAAGTGTGAACATTTGTCTTCCTGTCCTGACCCAGTTAATAAACCTCCATGCTTCCACACGTGATAAAGACTTCATTCTTGTTCACTTTTGTGTCCAGCTAACGTCCCATTGTGTGCGGATACCACACTTGCTCTCCCCAGTCGTCTGTTCAAAGCCGAGGTTGTCGCTGTGTCTTGTCTCTTGTCGGTCGGCAGTTCTGCAATAAAGATGGGACAGGAAGTATCTCCTTGACACGACACCCTTACTTCTTTTCCTTGGGGTTGGTTGATATGCACTTAAAGGGTTTTAAATGGGAAAAAAAACTCCATTAATCTATAATTTGAGATGATAGGACCACCTTTAACTGCTTGGTGGCAGTGCACACTTTTAACACCATGACAATCATTTTTTTTTTGTTGTTACCTGAAAATTCTCTTTAGCTGTTAATATTCTGGACATCTTTTTCCCTCTGGGACAGGAAATCACTGCACCCACCTAGATAAGCACAGTGCACTGCACAAGCCAGCTAGCCACGTCGCGTCCTGGAAGAAAAAGCGGAAGTTCCTGTGGAGTACAAGTTCTTGACCGTGTCTGCTTTTGTTGCCAAGGGCAAGTGCTATTGAAATGCTCACCTTGGCCTACCTAGAAAAGATCTTTGAATGGGGTGGGAGAAATGGTCGGGAACCACTCTGCTGAGTATTTAAGCACACTACAGCCCTGTGGACAGTGTGCTTGTCACTCAGACTGCACGAGCCAATCAGGCCCTCCAGGTGACCTGCCAGTCATAAGGAGTGCAGGGCTCTTCCGGGCAGCCTCCTTCAGATTTGGCTTTGCGGAGGCGCTGTTTTCAGTTGTTTCCTCTGCTGTGGTGAAGTTGCCTCTGCAGGAAGTTGATGAACTGAGAGCTTTGGCGAGCTGAGAAACCCCAACATGGTGAGCGGGGCAATGCTGTCTCCAGATGGGGAGGAGCCGAGGGTGAGGTGTGGGAGACAGCATGGTGCATCCTCCCGGGATCCATGTGGGAACCTGCCGCCAGATTCCCTGTGCTGTGAAGTCCCACGTGGCCCTGTTAATTCCTAGACCTAGGGACAGACCTCTGAATAAATTTGTGCAGTGGCCTTAATCTGCTTAGAGAATTGGGGGCAGGGTGCTGTGTGTACAAACATTTTTCTTGTCAACTTTAATATGCCATACTCAGAGAGGCCTAGATTCTCCAGTATCTTCTTGAAATTGAGCACTTTGCATGTAAGCTTTGCACACAATCTCCATTTGTGTTTAACTATGTGGACGGTATCAAGGCATCTCACCTGTTGGGTAGCACTGCACTTCTAAGCCGCAATGTAGAAGAGGAGAATTGCTGATATAAATGATTTTCCACTGCCTTGGAAATAGTTCAGTCTCACAAAGTAGAATTAGCTGAGGGAGGGCTGCCTCTTAAATCACCCAGAAGATAAATGTGTTTTAAACAGGGCTCTTAGAGTTTAGGTTGCTAGGGTACACATTCTTCAACTGGATTGTCCAGATATTTGGCTCCAAAACATTACAAACAAAGAAGCCACCACTGATTTAAAACCAGGCACATCCCCATACCAAAAAAAAACAAATTTTTAAAGGAGGCTTTCCAGGTTTCTAACCTACTTTAAGGCCTGATGTGGTTTAAAGTTCCAGTTTTCCTTTTGAGAAAATCACAGTTCTTCCAGATGGACAATAGGACACCAGGTGATATTTAATTGAAATGCAAAACAGTGTTGTGTGGAGGAGTTACCCGATCAATCAATGCTTTTCTTTTTTTATTAAAATTTATTTATTATGTATACATATTCTGTCTGTGTGTATGTCTGCAGGCCAGAAGAGGGCACCAGACCTCATTACAGATGGTTGTGAGCCACCATGTGGTTGCTGGGAATTGAACTCAGGACCTTTGGAAGAGCAGGCAATGCTCTTAACCACTGAGCCATCTCTCCAGCCCAATCAATGCTTTTCTTTTATGCCCTCTTCAGGAAGAAGGAACAATCGTGGGAGATCTAGTAACTGCCTAGGGCCTAAGCCTTGTGAGTTTCTCTAAGTACCTGATGTATTGATAATAAAACAGAGCTCCTCTAAAACCAGGAATATGCTTTGGGGAGCTGCTAATGGTCTGGTGCCAAGGCCTTTCTGGAAGGGTTGCTTCATATTCTAAGAATCCAATTCTTCCCAAAATATGGGACTATAGTTATCAGTCCCATGGCCACTCTGCTCTTAGTAAAGTTCTTGAGATACCCTGTTTTCCCCTTGTATAGAATTGTTTGAGTAGCCTCCTCCTAAATTCATGTGCTAGTTTGTACTGACTTCTTATAATTCTCCCATTTCTCTCCATTTCTCCCCTGGAAGTATACAAGATGCTATTCTCCTTTTTTGGTTTTTCGAGACAGGGTTTCTCTGTAGCTTTGGTGCCTGTCCTGGAACTAGCTCTTGTAGACCAGGCTGGCCACGAACTCACAGAGATTCGCCTGCCTCTGCCTCCCGAGTGCTGGGATTAAAGGCGTGCGCCACCACTGCCTAGCCTAAACTGTACTCTTATTTATTTATGTATTTATTTATTTATTTATTATGCCTGCATGTATGCCTACAGACCAGAAGAGGGCACCAGACCTCATTAAAGATGGTGTGAGCCATCATGTGGTTGCTGGGAATTGAACTCAGGATCTTTGGAAGATGAGACAATGTTCTTAACCACTGAGCCATCTCTCTAGCTCCTCTTTTCCTTTTTTTAAATTTTTTTTTTGAGAAAAAGTTTCTCTGTATGAGTGTCTTGACGATTCTGGAACTCACTGGATAGATCAGGCTGTCCTTGAACTCACAGAGATCACCTGACTCAGCAAGGGTGTGTGCTACCAATGGCCAGCAAGATGCTTACTAGGAATCTGTAAGACCTTCTCACCCTAGCTTTTTATCTTTTTTTTTGTTTTGTTTTGTTTTGTTTTGTTTTTCAAGACAGGGTTTCTCTGTGGTTTTGGAACATGTCCTGGAACTAGCTCTTGTAGACCAGGCTGGTCTCGAACTCACAGAGATCCGCCTGCCTCTGCCTCCGGAATACTGGGATTAAAGGCGTGTGCCGCCACCGCCCGGCTTTTTTTTTTTTTGATTTTTGAGACAGGGTTTCTTCACAGCTTTTTGGTTCCTTTACTGGAACTAGCTCTTGTAGACCAGGCCGGCCTCAATCTTGCAGAGATCTGCCTGCCTCTGCCCCCCTAGTGCTGGGATTAAAGGCGTGCGCCACCACTGCCCAGCAATTTTTATCTTTTTTACATTTTAGTTTTCCTATTTTTCTCATCCCCTGTGACCTTCACCTCAGGACCCTGTCACTGAAGCATGACCTGTGGATTCCTGTTACCAGTGTAATGAAGAAATTACCCTGGGAATACCTTTGCTCTGTAACTCTGCTATCTGCCTAAATGTCTAGCCTGGCAAGGTGCCTGTTTCTATTTCAATTGTTCAAAGTGTAACCTAGAGCCTAAAGGAGGCTTAAGGACAACAGCAAATGTGGAATCTGTCTAGCTGGCTCCTCTTTGAGCTCTAGCCAGATTGATGTCTACCATCTTTAAAGAGGTTTTTCTTTATTAATCTCTTAGGTGTGTGAAGTGATTTCTCAACGGAAAGGCATATTAGTTCTAGAACAGCTGCATTTCCATCCTGTTAGGAAAATAGTTTCTGAGACAAGTGCTCTTATGTTGACTCAGGTGGCCTTGGTCTTCTGCTGTCCAGGGCAATGACCTTGCTGTCCTGTACATTAGACTTTCAAACTTCCTAAAAAAAATACTGTACCACCTCACAGTTTTAAAATTATGCATTTGATGGCCGGGCGGTGGTGGTGCATGCCTTTAATCCCAGCACTTGGGAGGCAGAGGCAGGTGGATCTCTGTGAGTTCGAGACCAGCCTGGTCTACAGGGCTAGTTCCAGTACAGGCTCCAAAGCCACAGAGAAACCCTGTCTCTAAAAACCAAAAAGAAAATAATAATAATGAAAATAATAATAACAAATGAAATAAAATTATGCATTTCAGTCATGTAGTTGACTATGCATTGCAGTTGCAGGGAAAGGATTTGTATATTGAGCATTCCTTCTGTCTTCAGACCACAGCAGGAGGAATAGTTTATTGTGTATACTGCAGGGGCAAGAGTGGAGGCAATCAACTATTAGAGCCACCATTATGAAAAAGTTCCTGGCTGGGCAGAGGTGGCACAGGCCTTTAATCCCGGCACTCGGGAGGCAAAGGCTGGCTGTGAGTTCAAGGCCAGCCTGGTCCACAAGAGCTAGCTAAGGATAGGCAATTAGGCAATAATTCTTTGTAAATATGGTTGATCTTGCCAGGCGGTGTTGGCGCACACCTTTAATCCCAGCACTGTAGAGGCAGAGGCAGGCGGATCTCTGTGAGTTTGAGGCCAGCCTGGTCTACAAGAGCTAGTTCCAGGACAGGAACCAAAAAGCTATGGAGAAAACCTGTCTCGAAAAAAATCCAAAAAAAAAAATATATATGGTTGATCTTGCTTGACACAGTTATGTCTGCTTAGAGATTTGAGAAACAGACCATTGACTAACTCTATGTGTCAGGTTACTGATCTCAGTAGCCAACATATGTATATGGAAACCATTAATCTATCTCTTATTAATGACATCCCCTCTCTTATAGAAAGGCCTACTCTGTTTCAAAGTCAACATAGAAAGTTTTATTTAATCTCAAGAGTGCAGTATGTTTATCATTTGAAAGTCACTTATTGGTGTCATTTTCAGATATTTTCGTGTATCTGCTCTTATTTCTGTTTTTGTTCTCCAATGTCTCAAAGTTATTAATAGTGGCATTTTATTTCTCTCAGGTGATGTTGATTTTGATTTCTGTGTAGAACATTGTCTCCTAATGTTTAGGCTTGCCTCATGCTATATAATTAAGAATCATTTTGAACACCTAATCTTGCCTCTGTTGCCCAGTGCTGAGAAAACAGTTCTGCAACTTCTTACAGGTTTGGCCTTGACTTGTCAATGAAGAAGAAATGTAGAGTAGTGTGGCCCTGCTTAACAGGACTGTTACATTTCTTCATTAAGATGTTCATCTTTAGAGAAAATACATGAGAAATCTTTAACATGCTTTAATACAAATCCCTAATCTCTGGAGCACATGGCCATAACATCTATTTCAAGTTTTCAAAATAATTTTTGAGATGAAATCCACATTATATTTACATTCTCCTTGTTGCCTCCAAACCCAAATATGCCCGGATTGTTTTCTAATTCATGGTGTGTTTTTCTTTAACAACAGTTACAAAGTAACCACAGTTACACAGTAACAGAAGTTACTTTATGAATGTGACTGGTGTTTGTCTGCAGGACTTCCCACTTCTGAGGCAATGGGATGGATGCACTGTAATGTGAGTGTGCAATGGAATGTGCACACAAAGGACCCTGTGCTTTGGATGAGGAAGAGGATGTGCTCTAGGGGAGTGGAATAATGTGTACTAAATACAAACTTTGTAAACCTGGGCCCTGTCTGCTGGGCTGAAAGGGCGGATATGGAAGAACTATGCTGTCTGAGTAATTTGATCCCTGATCCTCCAGTAGAGGATCTGCTAATATTGTGAGTCCCAGCTGGGTGGGACTAGCCAGTGAGGGATTCTGGGAAATCTTAGCAATCGAGAGTACTAGTGGGAGAAAAGCGGTAACGTGGCTTATATTGTCATATTTTTGTTCAGTATTAAAGGATGTCAGGAAAGGAACATAAAGAGGGCATCTTTCTTTCTTTTTTTTTTTCCTTTGGTTTTTCGAGACAGGGTTTCTCTGTGGCTTTGGAGCCTGTCCTGGAACTAGCTCTGTAGACCAGGCTGGTCTCGAACTCACAGAGATCCGCCTGCCTCTGCCTCCCGAATGCTGGGATTAAAGGCGTTCGCCACCATCGCCCAGCTTGTGCCACCATTGCCTGGCTGAGGGCAGGATTCTTAATGGA